GACACAATGACACGCGCAAGTGGAAGGTAGTGAATCCAACTGAGGGGGAAGAGTACGATTCCCAAACAGCTACCTCTCCACGACTGCCAGACCCCATGAAATATGGGTTTAATTATAACGATGGTGGGGGGGTAGACAAACTTAGAGGACGGAGCTAATCTCTGGAATAGGACTAGCATAATGCATTAGCTCTGCAAATGGCTCGAAGCTTACCAAACGCAAATGCCAAGACATGCCTACTCTCAACACTGCTGGATAACCGGCCCTAAGCTTTTTTTATATAGTCTAAATAATAATATAACAGTACAAATATCTCAGCAAATACATTACTGGGTCTGCCAATACTTCTAAGATGTTGAACACTTACTTTTTGATATGGAGACTGTAAAAGAATGTTCACCAGCTTTTCCCAGTTCACTTGAATTCAATATATTATTTATTTTAAGAAAAGTATCTTCGGAATCAACTGAACAGCCACTTTAGAGTTTTAGGGAATTCTAGGGACCTGGATGGTTCTCGTTGTGAGCCTGTAGTGTCCGCTGGATACATTTTATATATGAGAGGCATCATCATAAGAGTCCTGGACTTCATCACTCTCTGAGACCCTAACACTCACCTGTCAGGCACATCACTGGCAAGTGACCAGGCGTAAAGTGAGGACCATTCTGGGGATAACAAGACAGTTCAGACCTGGGGGAATATCGCGGGTGGGGGCTTTTGGGCCCCTAATGAGAAACATATAAGTTATCGATTTTGTCTCTCCTGAGTCTTTACCAGTGCCCAGTTTTGAAAGAAAAGTAAGTTGTTGTCTTATTTCTCCACGGGGAAGTTAATACCCTCAGATGAAGTGTCAATAACAGTGACGGTTGGCTGAGAAAGGAACGAAGGTCACAGAGCCACATGCCACCGACACGGGACACATTCATCCCTGGGGGGTGTCCTTCTCAGTTTGCTAGATTGCACATGGACATCGTTCAGCCATCAGGTGCTGAGAAATCTAAAAGGTTGGACCTGGGGGCATTGTGTCATATCATTTTCTTGAGCACGAGATGATCTCAGAACCTCCTGAACAAAGTTAGGACTTTTTTTTAGAGCATGTACTGGGCTCTTCCAAAAGTCACAGAAATTCTGAGATGGCTTTGGTACGTCTGTGGGCGAATTACATGACTAAGACTGGCAAACTCGCCTGTTGTTTATGACATCGGAAATGGTGGGAGACACCTTGCGAACGCTGTAGCTTTGAATATGGCCTTGCGATTCAAAAATAACAGATCGTCATGGCAACGGCAGGAAATGTGTGTGGGATTTTACTATGCACCTGGTCTGTCACGTCCTGTCTCGGTGAAGACGGTTTAACTTTGTTGAAAATGGCTCTCCTCGTAACAGTTTTCCCTCCTTAGAGATCACATATAAAAGAACAATCCTACAAAGAAATCTTAAGTTAAATTAAAAAGCTCTGCTGCTTAAGATATTCTTAGGAAGTCAGCAAGGCATGAGGCGTTATATGGGAAAGGCGAACTGAGGGCATGGATGCTTCATGGAAGCTGCACGGTTGCAGGAATTCATCTGTACTAAATTATTAAGAGTATTATTATGAAAGACTTCATTTGATGAGAGGTCGCCTGCATTTAGTTTGTTTTTGGTTAGAGATCAAAACAGTGGTTTGTACCGTATGTCTGCCTGACCAATCTATCTGATTTTATCTCTAGGGTCCCAATAAAATCTCCCATTCCATTCTCCTGGATTTGTTCAGTCTCAAAAACAACACACAATCACACAACGAAAAGCACATTAATAACTGGATGTGAGAAGCAATGTTTCAGGACAATTTTTAACAGACTATGCAGCTTTACCTGTGTAAAGCTGTCATTTATAATGCATTATAAATACCTTCATAATGCATTATATAGTCAGTATAAGAATTAATAAAGCATTGCAGCATCTTCTATTCGCAGTCACAAGGCATTATAGTGTTGATTATGATACTTCATAAGCTCCCATGAAGCTCTCATTGGTAACACACTGTACATACCTTCATAATACATTGTAACGGTTTGGGCAAGAATTAAGGATGCTTTATTTCTGCATTATGAGGGTATCTATGGTGCATTATAGATGAGAGCTTCATAAAACATTCATAATGCGTAATAAACATGGCTAAAATGAGTTTTGCCATTTCATGAATATGCATATCCATGTTTATAATGCTTCATGAATGCATTATAATGTATTATGAATGTCTTCATTGATTCTTATAGACATGGCATTCATAGAAAGTGTTACCCATTAAGCTCTCCTAATCTGTTTTTAGTGTGCGGGCATATTCTTCACAGCCGGTATCCTGAACCCTAAGTAGCTGCATTGCCTTAATCTACTGGAAAATGTAGACTGAAAGAACCTTGCAATCCCTGCAAAAGTACTACATATCTTTGGCAGGTCTTCCTAAACCTAACAAGAGGTTTTAATTCCTTACAAGTCCTGTCTGGGTTAGTTACTGATCCTCTCTCTGCACTCAAAGGAAATTCCTCACAGAGAGCACAATTATGTCAGCGATCTACATCACTGACTTGAACACCAGCTACAAATCGTAGATCCAAATTAGCATTTAAAATCAGCCGAGGGCTGTAGGCATTATATTTAATTGCTTAGCTTTTGACAAATGTATCTTGCAGTTTTTCCCTATTTCGCCAGTTATTTTTTTGGTCAGCCTGCTGGTTGCAATTTTAAGTATTATTCATTATGCTGGCTTGCACATTATCTTTGCTCAGTTTGCTTAGAACGGCTTATTTAATTCCTCCCAAGTCCAATCGAAAGCCATAAATTAATGTGGTTCATGGCTTATGAGCAAAGGTTCCGGCGTGGTCAGATAACTGACATAGAGCTTACGGATTCTGTAAGTCGGTCCTGTAGAGTTAGCCATCTAGAAACATTAGTAATTAATTTCCCATGCACACTGCCAGCGAATGCATCGTGGTGATGAGGTTGTTATGGGAATGCAGAAGATTAAGGATGCCAGGCACTGACCATTGGCGCCCCCACACTGCCCTCTGCTGTCCAGAGCTTGTAATAGCTTGAGGAAAAGAGAAGCGGACATGTTACCTCTACATCACTTGTGGAGAGTGAAGCAGTGACTGATCATAGCAGGTGCTCAGCCCTGATGGAGCACATCAGCCAGAAGTCTTAAGCACACGAGAAAGACGACATGTTTAAAGTGAGCATGGTGGGACGAACCCACATTACTCCATAATGTTGTCGTCCCATCTGCCATGACAGCTATGGAATTTTTTCCCTTATTTTATTCCCAGATAACAGGGAACATTCCCAGAACTTCAGCCAACGTCAGTGAAGGTTTTCTCAAAGTTGCCAGATAACACTGTTACTGTAATGTTGATAGAACGTTTTTTTCCAGGTTATACATGTTCACAAAGGTCTTATATTAGCATGACAACATTATTTCCTGAGTATCCTTTTAACATAATTAGTGTTGAAAAACATTATCTTACAATAATAGATACTTCATCAGTCCCCATGGGGAAACTCTTCATGCCTCCCCCAACTCAAGCTGGCTGTGAAGGACAGCCACCCATAGCAGCTGGGGGTTATGGGTCTTGCACAAAGGCCCACAGACATGCCAAGGCAGGGCTTGAACCAACAGCCTTCTGATCACACGCACAGAGGCTTAATCCACTGAATCACATGCTAGTACTATATGTGTATAATGCAAACATGCCATCCAGCCTTGAATGCGTGTCTGTGTAAAGATGCAAAGTCACAGTGCTCTCCACTGCCCTGCCGCACCTTTTATTTGCTTCCACATTATTAGTCTCAATTGTAGTGGGAATTGTAGTGGTAATTGTAGTAGTGGTAATTGTAGTAGTGGGAATTGTAGTGGTAATTGTAGTAGTGGGAATTGTAGTGGTAATTGTAGTGATAATTGTAGTAGTGGGATAATGTTCTGGCAGCATCAGGAAAACTAGACACCTTGAACATTTCCATACCGTGATTGTAACGTTCAGTAAACGTTCCTATAAGGAAGAATTATCAGGAGGGGAGCAGATGTGTTTATCCAAAATGCAAGCTTAGGCAGGCAGCCACTGGGGTTAAGAGCTTTACTCATGGACCCAAGGGTGAAATCGCTGTGCCAATTACGGGATTTGAACCAGCAACCTTCCAATCACAGCGACAGTTTGCTAACCTGCTGCTCATCTCAATCCGAAAACAAGAGATTGAGGGTCGAATTCAGCGCAATGTACATGAGGGTGTTTGATTACTAGCCATTCAACTGCTAATGAATCCACATAAACCTTTTCATGAGGGAATAAAGCCATTTTCCTTCTCTTATTACAGGAGTTTGTGCAAAGGCCATTTCGTCCACCAAACATCCATCCTAGACAAGGTTGGGGGGGAGCAACACTGGTCAGAAGGCTGGAGTACATACTGGGGGGGGGGGGAGAGGGGCCCATCTTAGACTCGTGTTTA